TTGTAACTTAATGTTATTTTCTGAAGACACAGATAAAACCTGTCCACCATGCCATCATTAAATTCTAGTTCCTTGCTAAAATGGAAATAGAGGCCCATTTGCCCAAGCTTTCTACCACTTATTAACCATGTTGATGACACAGTGTGAGCTTGGAGAAAGGGTACTCTTCAAGACATAGTTTAAAATAATTATTAGAACTTTAACTGCCAGAATGATATTGACCCAAGATGAACGTCTTTTTTTCATTTTTGCTTTTTTATTGTGTCAGTGCCTTTCTTAGAGACTCACATGGGGCCACCTTGTACAAGAGACTATTTTTGAATACAGTGCTATTTTTGAGTACAGTGATTTTTACACTGTTTTCTGCAGCGCCCTGGGGAGTTGAGCCACCCCAGGGAGTCAGAGGCCACCAAAAAAAACCTCTAAAACTGCTCTGGTGAGTAGTAGTGTTATATTGAGGTTCTGATGACCCCTTCATCAGAGCCTCCCTCTTTTCCTGTCTTCAGAATTGAGCAGCTACTACACAGCAGGCACCAAGCTAAGTACCAGGGATACAGTGTTGAGCAAAAACAAAGTCCCTGCCTTTATCTAGATTACAGAAAAGACAGGCCTTCAGCACGTAATCACCACAGCAGCAAAAGTGTAAGTGCATTCCACGAAGTGCAAAAACAGGTTAAGACTCCCAGTGCCACCAAGGCACATACCAGGGTGACCCGACCTCGTCTAAACGTGAGCAGGTGAAAGAGTATTTAAGCTGACTTCTGAATATTGAGTAGAAGTTAAGGAGGGTGGGGGGGGTGTGGAGGAGGTATTTTTAGCCTCTTATATCATAAATATGGTAGGCACTTTGTAAGTACTTGCCAACTGGAAGGATGACTTGACCCTGGCCCTCTCAATAGGGCAGATCAAATGTAAGGAAGATTATTCATTGGAACAAACCACTGGAGAGGGTTTAGGCCCACCCCATTCTCTTTACTGTTTTTCTATATGGGCTGCTTTTCTCTCTGGAGATGGAGTACTTTGTACTCAATACTATTGTTGCCTACTTTAATTTTTTGTTGTTGGTTTTTTTTTTTGGTCAACAGAGATGGAAAAATTAAGCATCAGCAGCGGCCACTACCAGTAATAACCGTGTGTACAGGAATGAAACACACCCCCCCATCAACAAACTTCCTGTCAGTCACTAATATTTTCTGAGCACTGACTAATTATGATTTGGTGAAGGGGGAGATGGAGTGTGGCTGCCTAGAAATTTGATAAGCTATAATCAGGGTCACCCCAAGTACTAGGCATAATTTTAGGAATGGAGCTGGATTTAGCAAAATTAGTAGTCTTATTATCTAGCATTTATTGAGTTCTTGCATGTGATACACTGTACTAAGTGTGCTATAAGTGTCATGTTTTTAATTAGCACAGTAGTCATGTGAGTTGGATACTATTATTATTCTCATATTTTGGATGAGGGAACTAAAGATTTGAGAGACTAATTTGCCCAAGTTCACACAGCAGACAAACAGGTCTGGGTGGCTCTAGGACCTACACAATTTCTAACTCACTCAGCCGCAGTGTCTCCCAAAAGGTGACTTATCTGCTATCACCTGCAGACTTTACACCATGGTTACAAATGCCTGATATATTCCACTGCCCACACAGAATTGTCTTTCACAATAATTATTGGGTCCTTTATTTCCTCACTGAAATATTTTTTCAGCATCTTAGATTTTGGTTTCCAAAAGAGGCTTTTTTCCCTTTAAAAAAATTCCTAGCTATACCAAATCTCTATTTTGTAGATTTATTCAACAAATATTTTTAAATGATGCTACCATGTGCAATCCACGGTTCCAAGTTCCAGTGGTGAGCAAGGCAAAAAGTCCCTTCCATCCTGGAGCACAATTCTTCTGGGGAGGGGAAAAGAAGACAGAAAATAGGTAAATAAATAAGTACAGACTGTGTTAAGTGACACAAAAATTAAACAAAATGATGTGAAAGAGAATAACTGGAAGAAAGGGGCCAGTTTAGTTGAGGAAGCCACATTGATATGGTTCCTGAAGGTTGAGAGACTGAGATTCCAAGTATTGTGTAAAGAGATTTGGAAGAGCATTGCAGCATATGGAAGAGGGGAAAAACGTGTATGTCTGTATCTGTGTGTATGCGTGTGTACACACACACACAAATACACACACATATATTCTCTTCATCATCAAAGGTCCAGTATTTGGGGGATGCTGGTGAACAGGGTGTATGCATGTTCCTTTGAAATGCGAGCAGTGGAAGGGAGAGTCTTCTATTGGGGTCCCAGCATTCAAGATATTCCACTGGTCTTATAGCTTCCTTGTTTTCTGGGTGAAGTGCCCTCTGAATACTGAAGGTTCTTCAACTGCAAATAATAAAAGCCACTTTAACTCATTTCAGCATAAAATGAATGAATACAGGGAACTGGGTGAAGAAAAATCACTGGCAAGGCTGAAGGCAGAGCCTTTAGGTGGGGCTCTCAGTAATGAGCTCCAGAATTCCACTACAGGATCAGCTTCCTAAGGGAACTGCTATAAGGAAGCTGCTATTTCTCGTACAACAGTAAACCAAGAAATCAGGGCGTCACTGATTTTACTGTCTGGTCTGGGACTGACTGTTTCAGGCTCAACTGAAACCTACAATAGCTCACAGTGAAAAAAAAATGTGACAATGAATATATGCATGTTCATGTATAACAGAAAAATTGTGCTCTACACTGGAATTTGACACATTGTAAGCTGACTATAACTCAATAAAAATGTAAAAAAAAGAAAAAGAGAAAGAAAAAGAAACCTACAAAATGCATGCTCTGTATTGTCTTTCCAAATCCATGATGTTCGAGACAAGACGTGCACTACCCACCAGACAAAACAGCAGAAGTGCAGCCTCCTCCTCAGTCTATCCTTCCAGATGTTGCCTGAGTGCATCTGCTTGGCTGAGCTAAGTCATGTACAGGGACCCTGGGAAATGAAGTCTTCAATTTTCTCACTTCTAGCATGCAATACGGCCTATTAGAAAGGGTTGAAATGAGCCTATCTATTTACCTGCCACAAACTTCAATAGAGAATTTTGATAATTAGGTGGCATGGTTTGCCTGAGACTTTTCTACTCAGGCTCTGGGACAGTTGGTTACCTAAGTAGCCAGGCTTGAAGCTCCCTGTAAATTCTTTCAGAGGGGCTGAAACTGAAAGCAGGACTAAGCAAGTAATAACAACAATGATATATGTCATGGTGTTTAGAGCTCCATCACTGAAGTCATTCAGACATAGGTTTGAATCCCAGCTCCTCTTCTTCGCCAGTTTGTTCTTTTATAGAGCACTTTCCAATAGAATTCTGTGAAGAGGTAAATGCACTATATCTACACAGTGGTGATAATCATCAGCCACGTGTGACTTTTGAGTACTTGATACATGGCTAATGCAACTGAACATCTGGATTTTAAATTGTATTTATGTTTTAATTAATTTACATTTTAGAAAATTCACTTATTTTTAAAACCACTTTATTGAGCTATGATTGACATATAAAAATGTACATATTTAATGTAGACAAACTTGATGAGTTTGGAGATAAATACTGTGAAACTGTCACCACAGCCTTTGCCACAAATTTATCCATCACTTCCAAAAGTTTCCTTCTGCCCTCTTTCTCTATTATTACATTATTATGATGATGATAAGAACATTTAATATAAGATCTACCTTCTTAGCAAATGTGTAAGTATACAGTACACTATTATTAAGTAAAGGCATTATGTTGTACAATAGAGCTCTAAGACTTGTCTTGCGTAACTGAAACTTTGTATCCTTTGACTAATACCTCCCATTTCTCTCTTCCTCCAGCCCCTGGCAATCACCACTGGACTCTGCTTCTGTGAGCTTGAGTATTTTAGATTCTTCATATAAGTGGTATCATGTAGTATTTGTCTTTCTGTGTCTGATTTATTTCACTTTGCATAATCTCTTCTAGGTTGCAAATGTCAGGATTTCCTCTTGTTTAAGGTTGAATAATATTCCATTGCATGTACATATCACATCTTTTTTTATCCATTCATCCATTGATGGACATTTAGGTTGCTTCAGTGTCCTGGCTACTGTAAAGAATGTTGTAATTGACATGGGGGTATAGATATCTCTTCAACATGCTGAGATTGGTTCCTTTGTGTATATAACCAGAAGTGGGATTGCTGGATCATATGGTAGTTCTGTTTTTAAGTTTTTGGAGAACCTTCATATTGTTTTTCATTGTAGCTGTACTACATTTAAATTTAAATAGCAACATGTGGCTATTACATGGCTAGAGGCTACTGTATTGGACAGCACTGTATACAGTGGGGATAATAGCCTCATTACTGTATTTATACAACAAGTATTTATAGAGTATCTTCTGTGGGCACCTACAGGAATTCTGCTAGGGAAAAAACATCATGAAACGTACAACTAGTGAGGCAATCAGGCCTGTTTAACAGGTGAACAAATAAAAAAAAACTACAGCTTATTGTTAGTAGTATAAAGGAAGTAAACAAGATAGAGCTTTGTAGAATAATGGTGGTGCATTCTTTAGATGAGGCATGAGGGGTAACCTCTTTCAAGAGATGGTAAATGACTCAAACTACCACCGCCTTCCAGCTCAGGGTGGCCATATACACAACTCTGGCCAATGAGATAGAAGTGGAAATGAACCAAGCAATGTTTCAGGAAAGTTTTGGTTGTTCTCACAGAAAAGGAACTAGTGAATCAATCTGAGGACGCTCCCAAAGGCCAAAGATAGGACAATTTGAGCATCAATAAAGGCAATAACTACAATGTATTAAAACACAGCAAATATGTTTAAATCCATAAGTTCAAAAAAACAATTTTTTTAAAAAGCCTGACTGGTTATCATTGGAGGATACTAGTGAGTCAAGGCATTATTTAG